TACTGTGTGTGGGATCGTATAGCTCACAGTGTGTAACATACAGGATATAAAGTGACAGTATTACTGTGTGTGGGATCGTATAGCTCACAGTGTGTAACATACAGGATATAAAGTGACAGTATTACTGTGTGTGGGATCGTATAGCTCACAGTGTGTAACATACAGGATATAAAGTGACAGTATTACTGTGTGTGGGATCGTATAGCTCACAGTGTGTAACATACAGGATATAAAGTGACAGTATTACTGTGTGTGGGATCGTATAGCTCACAGTGTGTAACATACAGGATATAAAGTGACAGTATTACTGTGTGTGGGATCGTATAGCTCACAGTGTGTAACATACAGGATATAAAGTGACAGTATTACTGTGTGTGGGATCGTATAGCTCACAGTGTGTAACATACAGGATATAAAGTGACAGTATTACTGTGTGTGGGATCGTATAGCTCACAGTGTGTAACATACAGGATATAAAGTGACAGTATTACTGTGTGTGGGATCGTATAGCTCACAGTGTGTAACATACAGGATATAAAGTGACAGTATTACTGTGTGTGGGATCGTATAGCTCACAGTGTGTAACATACAGGATATAAAGTGACAGTATTACTGTGTGTGGGATCGTATAGCTCACAGTGTGTAACATACAGGATATAAAGTGACAGTATTACTGTGTGTGGGATCGTATAGCTCACAGTGTGTAACATACAGGATATAAAGTGACAGTATTACTGTGTGTGGGATCGTATAGCTCACAGTGTGTAACATACAGGATATAAAGTGACAGTATTACTGTGTGTGGGATCGTATAGCTCACAGTGTGTAACATACAGGATATAAAGTGACAGTATTACTGTGTGTGGGATCGTATAGCTCACAGTGTGTAACATACAGGATATAAAGTGACAGTATTACTGTGTGTGGGATCGTATAGCTCACAGTGTGTAACATACAGGATATAAAGTGACAGTATTACTGTGTGTGGGATCGTATAGCTCACAGTGTGTAACATACAGGATATAAAGTGACAGTATTACTGTGTGTGGGATCGTATAGCTCACAGTGTGTAACATACAGGATATAAAGTGACAGTATTACTGTGTGTGGGATCGTATAGCTCACAGTGTGTAACATACAGGATATAAAGTGACAGTATTACTGTGTGTGGGATCGTATAGCTCACAGTGTGTAACATACAGGATATAAAGTGACAGTATTACTGTGTGTGGGATCGTATAGCTCACAGTGTGTAACATACAGGATATAAAGTGACAGTATTACTGTGTGTGGGATCGTATAGCTCACAGTGTGTAACATACAGGATATAAAGTGACAGTATTACTGTGTGTGGGATCGTATAGCTCACAGTGTGTAACATACAGGATATAAAGTGACAGTATTACTGTGTGTGGGATCGTATAGCTCACAGTGTGTAACATACAGGATATAAAGTGACAGTATTACTGTGTGTGGGATCGTATAGCTCACAGTGTGTAACATACAGGATATAAAGTGACAGTATTACTGTGTGTGGGATCGTATAGCTCACAGTGTGTAACATACAGGATATAAAGTGACAGTATTACTGTGTGTGGGATCGTATAGCTCACAGTGTGTAACATACAGGATATAAAGTGACAGTATTACTGTGTGTGGGATCGTATAGCTCACAGTGTGTAACATACAGGATATAAAGTGACAGTATTACTGTGTGTGTGATCGTATAGCTCACAGTGTGTAACATACAGGATATAAAGTGTCAGTATTACGGTGTGTGGGATCGTATAGCTCACAGTGTGTAACATACAGGATATAAAGTGACAGTATTACTGTGTGTGGGATCCTTGTATTATGTAGTTTATGATAATAGACATTGTACAGAAAAATGTCACTACATATGTTTTATTTGAATGTCTTAATGTTTTTATTTTAGGATTATTTTTGTGTATATGATATCTGAATCATTAATTATTAATTACAACAGAAGCTACTGATATTACTACTTTATGTTTCAATGAACATGTGATTGTCCTTCAATTTCTTGACTTTTTATTTGGGATCAAGAATAAATCATTTAAACTTAATTACTGCATTGATCTTTTTATTTTATTTTTTACTCACCTGCCCAAAAGATGAAATATTTAAAAATTATATATATGCATGAAAATGAAGGAACATCTCCTGAAGATCTGAAAAACTTAGAGGCTTCCTGGGGAAAATCCAAACAAGGTTTAAGAAGAGGAAATTGATTTGCATGCAGGGTCACAGGTGTTGAATCAGTCAAAAACATCAGATGACTTCTAAAGGGTCATCATATTTAGTCCAACAATGTGTACCAAGAATGACCATGACCTTTCAAGGTCTCAGGGGTCAAATATGCCATGGCATAAATCACTACTTTTCAAGCACCAAAAAGTGGAGCATTATTGGGCAAAGAGGATTCAATGTTTGATCATTTTAGGGTATAATCCAAAGAATATAGCCCCACCCCTGGGTACTTAGTCTTTTTAGGTCACCTGAGCTTTAGCTCAAGTGACCTATTATTGCTATCAGTCTTCGTCCGTTGTCGTGCGTCGTCCATTAACATTTTACATTTTCATATTCTTAAGCTGAAATACTGGCAAAGGGATTTCATTGATACTTCATGGGAATGTTACCGACATCTCCCTGACCAAGTGTTGTTATTTTTCGAGTCGATCAGAAATCCAATATGGCTGCCACGGCTGCCATTTTGAAAAACTATTTCAAACTTAAAGTCAAATTCTGCTGGGCCGATTGAACTGCAACTTGGTAGGAATGATGGACTCATGGTCCTGACAAAGTGTTGTTATTTTTCGGGTCGGTCAGAAATCCAATATGGCCGCCACTATGAAAAATTATTTCAAACTGAAAGTCGAGTTCTAATCGGCTGATTTAACTGAAACTTGGTAGGAATGATCAACTCATCGTTCTGACAAAGTGTTGTTATTTTTCGAATCGATCAGAAATCCAATTTGGCTGCCACGACCCTTTTTGGAAAAAAGCTTTTTCAAACTTAAAAACAAGTTCCAAAAGGCCGATTTAACTGAAACTCGGTCTAGGAATGATCAGCTCATGGTCCTGACAAACTTAAGTTAACGTTATACATGTACTTAACTATTTCTTACTCAAATTGGTACTAAAATATTTCAACAACAAAATCTATTGGGCCTCTTGTTAGTTATTACATTGAAACAAATGAGATCCAAACATTATATATATATATATATACCCACATCAAACAGATTTGCTATGAATTTGAAGCATACTTGGGACCAGACAACACAGGGAAATATTTGCAATAATCCTTTTAGTCAAATGTATTACCGTGATATATTACATGTGTCCTGGTGAGTGATACACGCCCTCTTGGCCTTTTGTTTGATATTTTTAACTTGGTCTTGGTTATGACAATACTCAACTGTCCAGGGAAAATCTGTTGAGAAGTAAAGAACTGTTGTGATGACAATACTCAACTGTCCAGGGAAAATCTGACGAGAAGTAAAGAACGGTTGTGATGACAATACTCAACTGTCCAGGGAAACTCTGACGAGAAGTAAAGAACTGTTGTGATGACAATACACAACTGTCCAGGGAAAATCTGACGAGAAGTAAAGACCTGTTGTGATGACAATACTCAACTGTCCAGGGAAAATCTGACGAGAGGTAAAGAACTGTTGTGATGACAATACTCAACTGTTCAGGGAAAATCTGACGAGAAGTAAAGAACTGTTGTGATGACAATCCTCAACTGTCCAGGGAAAATCTGACGAGAAGTAAAGACCTGTTGTGATGACAATACTCAACTGTCCAGGGACAATCTGACGAGAAGTAAAGAACTGTTGTGATGACAATACTCAACTGTTCAGGGAAAATCTGACGAGAAGTAAAGAACTGTTGTGATGAAAATACTCAACTGTCCAGGGAAAATCTGACGAGAAGTAAAGACCTGTTGTGATGACAATACTCAACTGTCCAGGGAAACTCTGACGAGAAGTAAAGAACTGTTGTGATGACAATACACAACTGTCCAGGGAAAATCTGACGAGAAGTAAAGAACGGTTGTGATGACAATACTCAACTGTCCAGGGAAACTCTGACGAGAAGTAAAGAACTGTTGTGATGACAATCCTCAACTGTCCAGGGAAAATCTGACGAGAAGTAAAGAACTGTTGTGATGACAATCCTCAACTGTCCAGGGAAAATCTGACGAGAAGTAAAGAACGGTTGTGATGACAATACTCAACTGTCCAGGGAAAATCTGACGAGAAGTGAAGAACTGTTGTGATGACAATACTCAACTGTCCAGGGAAAATCTGACAAGAAGTAAAGAACTGTTGTGATGACAAGACATTGTAAAATTCTAATTTTAGTAACAGTAACCTTGACCAGGAAACAATGACATGACTGACACCTTCCTTTTTGTAGATCACTGATATTTCATTTGATATATATATACACATCCATAGTAGATTTCAAATATTTCAGGTGTTTTTATTCAGATCTCTTTTTGGAAACAGCAGCAACAATATAGTTTCATACAATTTGACATATTTCCACAAAAGAAATTGCATATGTATTCCGTATAATATCAATTAAGATGCACGGTTAATCATCATTCATAACAATATATACAATCAACTACTTTACTTTAAACAAACATTTGTTTTACAAGCAGGATACATGTGATGTAAAATATATATCAAAACAAGGAGTAAAAACTTAATTATTTGGGAAAAAAACACTAAACCACACTATATGAAACCACAAGGTCACTCTTTCACACAAACTGTAAGGCAAGAAATTTTCACATGCAAAACGCGTTTGGGCCTCTTACCTGTTTGCACTTTGGATTCTTTTTCATTGGCAGTAGTTCTGAGAACCAGATTTCCTATTTATCTATTATCTGTCTCAACTATTGATAAATATTTGCATGTAGATATTTTTCCACTTATACATGAAACACACAAATATTTCCACACCACTTAAGTTACCCCTTTAGCATTATATAGTGTAATACAGTAACGACATTCTCAGGACTGTCTTGGTATTGGTACAATTTTCACCTGCACAAGTTATCTAGTTATTCATATAAATAAATCTGCAGCAGGTTCCCCATTTAGATATAAAACAAAAGACAATAACTTTGTATAACATGTGACATTCTGCATTCTCGAATTAATTATGGCAATTGTAAGGTGAGTAGAGAGATATGCCGCGGACAATGGGATGCTTTGTAAACAAAGGGCAACAACTCTATATATAGTTGAGTACAATACCAGATTTTGATATGTGACACTACACCATCCAAGAGGACTACATGTCCCTGTGTGGAGTACAATACCAGATTGTTATATGTGACACTACACCATCCAGGAGGTATACATGTCCCTGTGTGGAGTACAATATCAGATTGTAATATGTGACACTCCACCATCCAAGAGGACTACATGTCCCTGTGTGGAGTACAATATCAGATTGTAATATGTGACACTCCACCATCCAAGAGAAATACATGTCCCTGTGTGGAGTACAATACAATCAAATAAAATGTTAGGAAATATTCACACATCAAACAAACAAAATAAATATGCAACAAAGGAAATATAATGATAAACTTTTGGCAAGGCACATGTAATGTTCTATTCATGAAGATGTTGTGACATGTACAATAATTCTGTAGCATGCCAGGAACCATTTCTTTGCTGATTCTCCGCTGATTTTGGCCTGGTTCACACTTGTGTTGGGGCTTGGTGATGATAAACAATATCATATTACAGAATTTGTTCACTCCATAGAAATGTTAAGTTTAATTTCACAAACGGTTGCGTATATATTATCCAGGTATCCATGTTCGGAGAAACACTCAGATCACCATCAGAAGTCACGTTACCATAATACCTACATCCTGGGACGTACACTTAACAAAATGACCGTTTAGGATCAAATTTGTTCTTGTGCTGGGAATTGGTCGTCAATGTTAATAATTAGCTAGATAAAAAGACACAAGACATCGCTTTTCACCAGTTAAATTCCAAAGCCACACGGAAAAGTCTCGGTACATGCATAGCTAGGGCATGATGTTGTCATAGCGATGCTGACTTTTTATATAGCTTCTTCCTCTCAATTATTGAGCACAGCATATCATGGAATAAAGAGTCAATCCCTTCACCAGTAGAAGCTGACGTCTCGTAGTAACCTCTGAAACAGATAAACATACTTAAGGTGGTATGGTACGTTAACAAAATAGCTCCAAATCTCATGGTAACTTCTGAAACAGATAAACCATACTTAAGGTGGTATTGTACATTTACAAAAGAGCTCCATATCTCGTGGTAACCTCTGTAACAGATAAACATACTTAAGGTGGTATGGTACATTTACAAAAGTGCTCCATATCTCATGGTAACTTCTGAAACAGATAAATATACTTAAGGTGGTATGGTACGTTTACAAAAGAGATCCATATCTCATGGTAACTTAATTCTGAAACAGATAAACATACTTAAGGTGGTATGGTACATTTACAAAAGAGCTCCATATCTCATAGTAACTTCTGAAACAGATAAACATACTTAAGGTGGTATTGTACATTTACAAAAGAGCTCCATATCTCGTAGTAACCTCTGAAACAGATAAACATACTTAAGGTGGTATGGTACATTTACAAAAGAGCTACATATCTCATAGTAACTTCTGAAACAGATAAACATACCTAAGGTGGTATGGTACATTTACAAAAGAGCTCAATATCTCATGGTAACTTCTGAAACAGATAAACATACTGAAGGTGGTATGGTACATATACAAAAGAGCTCCATATCTCGAAGTAACCTCTGAAACAGATAAATATACTTAAGGTGGTATGGTACGTTTAGAAAAGAGCTCCATATCTCATGGTAGCTTCTGAAACAGATAAACATACTTAAGTAGGTATGATACATTTACTAAAGAGCTCCATATCTCATGGTAACTTCTGAAACAGATAAACATACTTAAGGTGGTATGGTACATTTACAAAAGAGCTCCATATCTCATGGTAACTTCTGAAACAGATAAACATATTTAAGGTGGTATGGTACATATACAAAAGAGCTCCATATCGCGTAGTAACCTCTGAAACAGATAAATATACTTAAGGTGGTATGGTACGTTTACAAAAGAGATCCATATCTCATGGTAGCTTCTGAAACAGATGAATATACTTAAGGTGGTATGGTACATATACAAAAGAGCTCCATATCTCATGGTTGCTTCTGAAACAGATAAATATACTTAAGGTGGTATGGTACATTTACAAAAGAGCTCCATATCTCATGGTAGCTTCTGAAACAGATAAACATACTTGAGGTGGTATGGTACATTTACAAAAGAGCTCCAAATCTCATGGTAATTCCTGAAACAGATAATCATACTTAAGTTGGTATGGTACATTTACAAAAGAGCTCTACGCCCCATATACACCTCTGACACAGCTTGTTATATATTGTTAAGATTGTATGGTACCAAAATACTTTTATATAAGAGTTCAATACTAAGACTCTGGGTGATGTACGTTAACTGCTCATCAATATATATCCAAGGGTTTAAAAGTTACAAATGGAACAATATTTTCCTCATACGTCTACACTCATCTGACCTTTGACCTTAAGGCCAATGTCATACATGCAGGGTGACCTATTAATAGAGCACTGTACATCTTATGTGAGTGATGTAGGTATACTGCAGGTTTTATAAAGATACATTTTCCTCAAACATTTGCACTTATTTGACCTTTGACTTTTAGGCCAAGGCCATATTGACCTTTCAACTATGCACTGCACATCTTCTGTGAATGATGCAGGTATACAGCTGGTTTCATCAGGATGATTTTTTACCAATCGAAAAGTTACAGCCTGGACAAGATTCTCCATAACAATTAGCACATATTTCACCTTTGACCTTGAGGTTAATATCGCAGTGACCTTATAACATTTCACTGCACATCAGGGTTAGGGCATAATAACTCATTTAGGGTTTAAGGCAGCGTGTATCATTAACTCGAACACAATCTAATTTTATCATTAGTGAGGTAGCAAACTTCCTTAGGGGAGATAACTCTTACACAATCTCATTTTATCATTTGTGAGGTAGCAAACTTCCTTAGGGGAGATAACTCTTTCAAAATCTCATTTATCCTGTGTAAGGTAGCAAACTGCATTAGGGGAGATAACTCTTTCACAATCTCATTTATCCCATGTAAGGGAGCAAACTGCTTTAGAGAGGATAAGTATAACACAATCTCATTTTATCATTTGTAAGGTAGCAAACTTCCTTAGGGGAGATAACTCTTTCAAAATCTCATTTATCCTGTGTAATGTAGCAAACTGCCTTAGGAGAGATAACTCTTTCACAATCTCATTTATCCTGTGTAAAGGAGCAAACTGCTTTAGGGGAGATAACTCTTACACAATCTCATTTATCCTGTATGAGGTAGCAAACTTCCTTATAATTGTTTTGTGTAAGCTTTTATTATCTACAATCGTCAATAGATCCAAACAATCATTCCCAATGACCTTGTTTTACCTGTATAAAAACAAGCTAATTCGTGGAATTTATATCCCCGATTGCAGGACATATTGTAGGATAACATTATTGAGGTGAGGTTTAGCCCTTTAAGGCATTTAACCCTGTGACCAAGAAAATTGGTTAACATTTGATGTAGTTATTCCACGGAAACAAAGCGTGACAGACAGACAGACAGACGGATAAACCCAAATTAATATCCCCCGTTTCGGTGAAAGCGGGGATAATCAGTATACACTGTAACAGACAGTAAACAATCATTTTCTACAGCTTTGTATGTCGTCCTCATTATTACATCGTAAACTCGATATTTTGAAAACCCTAACACTATTACAAATTTTCCGTGAATTTGGATACCTGTTTATAAAAATTCAAATCAGCATTCAAAATCTTTTGCATTTTTTTACCAAATTTTGGAAATCTCTTTGCTCATCTTTTATAACAAACGGCAGTCAGTATAAAGAAACAAAATGAAAACAGTTAAAATTTTGTTCATCACCCACATTTTATCTCATACTTACACCATTTTATTCTGTGTCGCCCATTTTCTTCCTTCTTCCTTCTCAACCTGGCGTTTGTTCTTAATATCAATCTTTAAAACAAAGAATAAGTCACTGTACATATATCCCACACATGAGTGTTTCGTATCAATCTTTAAAACAAAGAATAAGTCACTGTACATATATCCCACACATGAGTGTTTCGTATTGAACACATGTATCTTACATACACAGAGGCAGTAGAAAATAATGTAAGATACTTATAAAGTTTTTCCAGTTGGACAGTCTGACAGATAGTAGCAGCAGACAGGAATGATCCCACGAACAAATACTGTACCTGAAGCCTAACTTTCAGAAGTAATTTATTGAATCAAATAAAATAAACAAATACTAAGATGCTTGAAGTATACAATATTCATTTCAAAATTGTTTTTAAGATACCACTCACCCCATCCCCAACCCTAAATAGTACATTGTTTCCGACCAATCGTATGTATTGTATTTATTGACCTCTTTCATCCCCGCCCCTAAATAGTACCTTGTTTCCAACCAATCGTATTTCCGGGTTAGTTGTACTGTACTTATTGACCTCTTTCATCCCCGCCCCTAAAAAGTACCTTGTTTCCGACCAATCGTATTTCCGGGTTAGTTGTACTGTACTTATTGACCTCTTTCATCCCCGCCCCTAAATAGTACCTTGTTTCCGACCAATCGTATTTCCAGGTTAGTTGTACTGTACTTATTGACCTCTTTCATCCTCGCCCCTAAATAGTACCTTGTTTCCGACCAATCGTATTTCCCGGTTAGTTGTACTGTATTTATTGACCTCTTTCATCCCCGCCCCTAAATAGTACCTTGTTTCCGACCAATCGTTTCTCTAGGTTAGTTGTACTGTACTTATTGACCTCTTTCATCCCCGCCCCTAAATAGTACCTTGTTTCCGACCAATCGTATTTCCGGGTTAGTTGTACTGTACTTATTAACCTCTTTCATCCAAACATCCAAGGCTTCAAACGAGGCTTGATTAGTGACATCATACACCATAAAGATGGCGTCAGTCTGGAGGTAGAGTTCGTTTCTAACATCAATGTACTCCGGACTCCCAGAGAGGTCCCACAAGTGTACACGCACTGTCAACATATTATTGGGCATTATTATTACACTGCACAGCCGTTTCAGAATGTGATAAAGATTAAACCATTCTTAACTTCAAGCAAATGCAAACATTACAAAATTCTCAATCTAAAGGTTCAATGGGCCTGTATTGCTGACATGTTACTCATTCCACATCTGTGACCTTCAAAGATAGTCAAGGTCAAATATATTTAAATGGGCTAACTATCATATTACTCTACATAATTAATCTTTGTTTAGAACATTGCATTACCTGGTATTCTACTGTGTGACGAATCACCTTACCAATCATCATTGGAAGACTAAAACTCGTTTTAATATTCTGGCCTTCAAAATTAATCTAGGTCATTTGTTCAGATTCCAAACTTTATTGGACATAACATCAATACACTACAGGCCACATATCAAACCATCGATGTTTTGTTCTTCAGAAGTTGTTGATGTTTAAACTTTTTTTTTAAACATTTGACCCATGTGACATTAAAAGTTTGTCAAGTTCATTCAATAGATTGAACAAACTTGATGGATCGTCATTTGCAGCATGCTATTGGCCAAACATTATTACCTTAGGCCTTCGTAAAGTGTTGAGTTTTCAACAAATGTATTTGACCCCTGTGACCTTGGATGAAGGGCAAGGTCATTCATTTGAACAAACTTGATAAACCTTAGATCTAGCAAGCTACAGGTCAGCTATCATAACCATAGGCTTTGCAGCTTCTTTGTCATATCACATACTTGACCCCTTGTTACCTTGAATAAGTCATCTATTTAAATACCCTTCATCCCAGCATTCTACTGGCCAAATGACATTGTCCTAGGTCTTTCATTGCTGTATTTTCAAAATGAAATATAACAAAATAATGATTATCCGCCAACACTCACTGCGGTACAATAAAAACAAAATAAATTATGATTATGCAGCAAATGTACTGAACTGACATAATTTGAGAAGTAAACCACCCCAACAACACAACCAATCAAGAACTCTAAACTGATTACAAAACTACAACAAAGGAACCGTGGCAACACTTAAACAACATGAACACAACCAAGATATTGGATGTGAAAGCAGAAAGTTTCCCTGCAGCACAGAAGTGGCGTGCATCCATCATGATGTCTCAAGTCCAAACCTTCAGTGTAAGATACACGAATGATCACGGAACTAAGGCACTGTTTCCTCGTGACAGCCAGTTTGATGTTTGAAATCAGGTGATGATGAATGGAAATATATAACAAAGTAATACTCACAATCAACGCCATCGACATGCTGGATCTTGAACCCGTAATCGACCCCGACTGTCGGCTGGTACCCACCACAAAACTAGAACATCAAAAGTTGAAACTTAATATCAATTATATGACAACAGGCCCAATGGGCCTTAATCACTCGCTAGTGATTCTTTGATTGGAACATTTATTTTATTTTTTCTTCCTAGCAGTTTTAATTTATTTTACTGATGTGATGTGACCTTGAAAAAATGTCAAGGTCATTCATTTGGACAATGTTGATAGCCAACATACAACTATTCATTCATTAAATACAACAATTGTTGATTTGCTTTTGTGTTATACTGTTTAGACTAGAAACAGGTTTATGACTTACCTTACTTTCACAAAAATGTTTTATCAGGCATGTCTTCCCAACATTAGCATTTCCAATACCGACCACCTACAACAGATGTCAAATTAAGATAGAATAGGAATACCACAGGGGCAAAATGATATATAGCCAGTCTAATGCTATGTCTAAATTGTAATCAACTTCAAACTTGGACATCAGACACTCACTGCTGGTTTGAGGGGGAAAAGATCTTTTTTGTTTACATATACATACAGATATGTATATACAAGATATTAAACTACTCAAATTGGAAATGCATTTCTTATGGGGCCTGGCTTTGGTTAAAAATATGTAATTTCTGAAATTAGACTACAAGTGTGTGACTGAAGTGAATCATTGGTAGACTGGGTCAATCGTCGGCGACCAGGTAGTGTAGTAATTGGTAGAGCGTCTGTCTACAGTTTGGACCCCAGTCTGGCCGTTGCATTTCTCTTTCTCCTGTTATAAAATTTGCAAGCTTACCAACCCTTGTTTCAAGCTCTCAGTGATCAATGCTTGTCAAGGGGATACCCCAACCTGAGTTATACATAATTGTGTCTTTTACGGGCAAAGACATAGAAAAATAAGTGCAGAATGTAGCGGAACTAGACTGGGTCGATCGCCAGTGACCAGGTAGATTATCTAATTAAGATATAAGTTTAACACAAGAATAAATCTCTACCTTAGTTTTGACTAGCATGAAGAAAATATTAATACCGGTAATAATAATAATATACAACATTTATGTAGCACCCTTTATAATTTGCAATAATAGTATTCCTACACTGACAGTTATAAATATATCATCCAGTCATAGGTTTCCGCGCGTTATATATTTTCGCGTGGCCATTTTATCAAGCTGTAGCTCGTTACTACGTGACCTGCTTGACACTACACTAGGACCAGAGACGTGTATACTATGGCTTTATATGTCTCCGACTAGGACATTTTAGACCTTTGGCCATCGTCTGTAAACTGACCAAAAATTACTTTAATTGAGTTAGAAAAACATGAGAATTTATAACTGATGAAACAAGGAATCTGGGTGCCCAACATTGTACCATCTTCATTAGTTCTATGATAGTTTGATCTTTTCTCTGCTGTTCTCTTATCTGATTAATCGAGTCATGTTACCAGTAAATGCACCTTGAGGTAACTTTTGATCTAAACTTAATACTGCTGTGTATAAAAGACAACCTTCGAAGTGAGTTTGTCATTTCACTTGTTTTTATGATCATTCTCAAATTTGAGAAAGATCCCTCAAGCACTTCCTGAGAAATATCCATAACAAATCTTCACTGTCAAATTCCAAGATGGCTGCCTGTCGGCCATTTTTTTTTTATCCAATAAGTCTTAAAATTTTCATCAATTAGAAATGGAAAAAGAATGAAAAATAACTAAATGTAGCTAGGGTTTCCTCCCCGATCCCGCATCAGTGTTGTGAGGCAGGGTGCTATGCATATTATAAAGTCTGAGATGAAAGTCAACTACAGCAGGGATAACTCAAACAAAATATATCAAGTTTACATAATTTTATTTATCCTATGAATACCGTGTTATGCAGTGTCATAAAGCCATCACATAAATTATGTTTATGTAATATGTGTAATATCACTCTGGAAATTACATCACAATCGAATAGAAACAATCAATATGTTCCTTGTGAAGCGGACTCAATTTTCATCATTTGCCAAGTGCAAAATATTCGTTTCAGATCACAATTTTTCAGTTTTACTTTGTATTCTATGATAAAAAGAATCTGTCATTCGTTTCTCTTCATATTAGATTGATGGTACTCGTTCTGGAGCCAGAGGCTCGCAAACATGAAAAATTCCAAACTTGTATCATAATTAAATCTAGTATGAAGGGAAACGAATGACAAATCCTCTATTTAAACATCCATGATATCAAGTAGTTTCACACAAAGTCCACTCGGAATCAAACACTCTATCTCACATTACTCCACAAATATATTTCCATCATAATAAGGTGTAATTCCCATATTAAAAATGAATTTATTAAATATATGAATTTGTCTATAAAGTTGACATAATTTGAACTTATAATCAAAACAAAATGTGCAATTTTGAAAAAATTTAACTCAACAAATAATTTGACAATCAAAGATCATATTTGAAATACCCAGCAAAGTATTTGTTGGTTGGGCCACTCTGGAGAATTTCTTTTTATTATATTCAATTTATCTTTCTTTGAACACTGAATCAAAATTGAGACACAGAAACATATAACAGACGGCTACTTCCGGCATTTACATTTCTTGAAAAGTTTTGTTTGTGTTTTATAGTTTTATATTCCTAGTTGGGTTTTTGTCCATGACAGTCATCAGTAATTTTAACTGTTTTATACCAATATGAGTATGAAATTGTGGAGGCTTGTTAATAAGGTGCAGAAACCAATAACACGAGGATAGTTGATAGAAAAGCCATACAAATCAGCATCATAAGTTCTTTTGATGGTTAGAAACAACAAAAGAGTTTTCTTAGTATAAGTATAGGGCAGTACTGGCCTAGTGAGGTGTGTGCACACAGGTAATAGCCTTGTCTACCAATCCACCCATCCCAGTACTGGCCTAGTGAGGTGTATACTCACAGGTAATAGCCTTGTTTACCAATACACCCATCCCCGTACTGGCCTAGTGAGGTGTGTGCACACAGGTTATTGTGCACACAGGTAATAGCCTTGTCTACCAAAACACCCATCCCAGTACTGACCTAGTGAGGTGTGTACACACAGGTAATAGCCTTGTCTACCAAAAGACAATACACCCATCCCAGCACTGGCCTTGTGAGGTGTGTACACACAGGTAATAGCTTTGCTTGTCTACCAATACACCCATCCCAGTACTGTCCTAGTGAGGTGTGTGCACACAGGTAATAGCGTTTTCTACCAATACGCCCAGCCCAGTACTGGCCTAGTGAGGTGTGTGTACACAGGTAATAGCCTTGTCTTCCAATACACCCATCCCAGTACTGGCCTAGTGGGGTGTGTGCACACAGGTAATAGCCTTGTCTATCAATACACCCATCCCAGTACTGGCCTAGTGAAGTGTGTGCACACTGGTAATAGCCTTGTCTACCAAAACACCCATCCCAGTACTGGCCTAGTGAGGTGTGGGCACACAGGTAATAGCCTTGTCTACCAATACCCCCATCCCAGTACTTTCCAGTACTGGCCTAGTGAGGTGTGTGCACACCGGTAATAGCCTTGTCTACCAAAACACCCATCCCAGTACTGGCCTAGTGAGGTGGGTGCACACAGGTAATAGCCTTGTCTACCAATCCACCCATCCCAGTACTGGCCTAGTGAGGTGTGTGTACACAGGCAATAGCCTTGTCTACCAATACACCCATCCCAGAGCTGGCCTAGTGAGGTGTGTACACACAGGTAATAGCTTTGCTTGTCTACCAATACACCCATCCCAGTACTGTCCTAGTGAGGTGTGTGCACACAGGTAATAGCTTTGTCTACCAATACACCCATCAAAGCACTGGCCTAGTGAGGGGTGTGTGCACACAGGTAATAGCCTTGTCTATCAATACACCCATCCCAGTACTGGCCTAGTGAGGGGTGTGCACACAGGTAATAGCCTTGTCTACCAAGACACCCATCCCAGTACTGGCCTAGTGAGGTGGGTGCACACAGGTAATAGCCTTTTCTACCAATACACCATCCCAGTACTGGCCTAGTGAGGTGTGTGCAAACAGGTAATAGCCTTGTCTACCAATACACCCCTTGTCTACCAATACACCCATCCCAGTACTGTCCTAGTGAGGTGTGTGCACACAGGTAATAGCCTTGTCTACTAATACACCCATCCCAGTACTGGCCTAGTGAGATGTGTACACACAGTTAATAGCCTTGTCTACCAAAAGACAATACACCCATCCCAGCACTGGCCTTGTGAGGTGTGTACACACAGGTAATAGCTTTGTCTACCAATACACCCATCTCAGTACTGGCCTAGAGAGGTGGTAATAGCCTTGTTTACCAATACACCCATCTCAGTACTGGCCTAGAGAGGTGGTAATAGCCTTGTTTACCAATACACCCATCTCAGTACTGGCCTAGAGAGGTGGTAATAGCCTTGTTTACCAATACACCCATCCCAGTACTGGCCTAGTGAAGTGTGTGCACACTGGTAATAGCCTTGTCTACCAAAACCCCCATCCCAGTACTGACCTAGTGAGGTGTGTACACACAGGTAATAGCTTTGTCTACCAATACACCCATCAAAGCACTGGCCTAGTGAGGGGTGTGTGCACACAGGTAATAGCCTTGTCTACTAATACACCCATCCCAGTACTGGCCTAGTGAGGGGGGTGCACACAGGTAATAGCCTTGTCTACCAATCCGCCCATCCCAGTATTGGCCTAGTGAGGTGTGTGCACACAGGTAATAGCGTTTTCTACCAATACGCCCAGCCCAGTACTGGCCTAGTGAGGTGTGTGTACACAGGTAATAGCCTTGTCTTCCAATACACCCATCCCAGTACTGGCCTAGTGGGGTGTGTGCACACAGGTAATAGCCTTGTCTATCAATACACCCATCCCAGTACTGGCCTAGTGAAGTGTGTGCACACTGGGAATAGCCTTGTCTACCAAAACACCCATCCCAGTACTGGCCTAGTGAGGTGTGGGCACACAGGTAATAGCCTTGTCTACCAATACGCCCATCCCAGTACTGGCCAAGTGAGGTGTGTGCACACAGGTAATAGCCTTGTGTACCAATACACCCATCCCAGTACTGGCCAAGTGAGGTGTGTGCACACAGGTAATAGCCTTGTCTATCAATACACCCATCCCAGTACTGGCCTAGTGAAGTGTGTGCACACTGGTAATAGCCTTGTCTACCAAAACCCCCATCCCAGTACTGACCTAGTGAGGTGTGTACACACAGGGAATAGCTTTGTCTACCAATACACCCATCTCAGTACTGGCCTAGTGAGGTGTGTACACACATGTAATAGCCTTGTTTACCAATACACCCATCTCAGTACTGGCCTAGTGAGGTGCGTGCTCACAGGTAATAGCCTTTTCTACCAATACACCATCCCAGTACTGGCCTAGTGAGGTGTGTGCTCACAGGTAATAGCCTTTTCTACCAATACACCATCCCAGTACTGGCCTAGTGAGGTGTGTGCTCACAGGTAATAGCCTTGTTTACCAATACACCCATCTCAGTACTGGCCTAGTGAGGTTTGTGCTCAAAGGTAATAGCCTTGTCTACCAATACACCCATCCGAGTACTGGCCTAGTGAAGTGTGTGCACACGTAATAGCCTTGTCTACCAATACACCCATCCGAGTACTGGCCTAGTGAAGTGTGTGCACACGTAATAGCCTTGTCTACCAATACACCCATCCGAGTACTGGCCTAGTGAAGTGTGTGCACACGTAATAGCCTTGTCTACCAATACACCCATCCGAGTACTGGCCTAGTGAAGTGTGTGCACACTGGTAATAGCCTTGTCTACCAAAACACCCATCCCAGTACTGACCTAGTGAGGTGTGTACACACAGGTAATAGCCTTGTTTACCAATACACCCATCCCAGTACTGGCCTAGTGAGGTGTGTGCACACAGGTAATAGCCTTGTCTACCAATACACCCATCTCAGTACAGGCCTGGTGAGGTGTGTACACACAGGTAATAGCCTTGTCTACCAATACACCCATCCCAGAGCTGGCCTAGTGAGGTGTGTACACACAGGTAATAGCCTTGTCTACCAATACACCCATCCCAGTACTGGCCTAGTGAGGTGTGTACACACAGGTAAAAGCTTTGTCTACCAATACACCCATCCCAGCACTGGCCTAGTGAGATGTGTACAAACAGTTAATAGCCTTGTCTACCAAAAGACAATACACCCATCCCAGCACTGGCCTAGTGAGGTGTGTACACACAGGTAATAGCTTTGTCTACCAATACACCCATCAAAGCACTGGCCTAGTGAGGTGTGTACACACAGGTTATAGCCTTGTCTACCAATACACCCATCCCAGCACTGGCCTAGTGAGATGTGTACAAACAGTTAATAGCCTTGTCTACCAAAAGGCAATACCCCCATCCCAGCACTGGCCTAGTGAGATGTGTACAAACAGTTAATAGCCTTGTCTACCAAAAGACAATACACCCATCCCAGCACCGGCCTAGTGAGGTGTGTACACACAGGTAATATCCTTGTCTACCAATACACCCATCTCAGTACAGGCCTAGTGAGGTGTGTACACACAGGTAATAGCATCGTCTACCAATACACCCATCCGAGTACTGGCCTAGTGAGGTGTGTGTACACAGGTAATAGCCTTGTGTACCAATACACCCATCCCAGTACTGGCCTAGTGAGATGTGTACACACAGTTAATAGCCTTGTCTACCAAAAGACAATACACCCATCCCAGCACCGGCCTAGTGAGGTGTGTACACACAGGTAATAGCATCGTCTACCAATACACCCATCCGAGTACTGGCCTAGTGAGGTGTGTGCACACAGGTAATAGCCTCGTCTACCGATACACCCATCCCAGTACTGGCCTAGAGAGGTGTGTGCACACAGGTTATAGCCTTGTCTACCAGTACACCCATCTCAGTACAGGCCTAGTGAGGTGTGTACACACAGGTAATATCCTTGTCTACCAATACACCCATCTCAGTACAGGCCTAGTGAGGTGTGTACACACAGGTAATAGCCGTGTCTACCAATACACCCATCCCAGTACTGGCATAGTGAGGTGTGTACACACAGGTAATAGCCTTGTCTACAAATACACCCATCCCAGTACTGGCCTAGTAAGGTGTGTACACACAGGTAATAGCCTTGTCTACCAATACTCCCATCCCAGTACTGGCCTAGTGAGGTGTGTGCATACAGGTAATAGCCTTGTCTACCAATACACCCATCCCAGTACTAGCCTAGTGAGGTGTGTTCACACAGGTAATAGCCTTGTCTACCAATACGCCCATCCCAGTACTGGCCTAGTGAGGTGTGTGCACACAGGTTATAGCCTTGTCTACCAGTACACCCATCTCAGTACAGGCCTAGTGAGGTGTGTACACACAGGTAATAGCATTGTCTACCAATACACCCATCCGAGTACTGGCCTAGTGAGGTGTGTGTACACAGGTAATAGCCTTGTCTACCAATACACCCATCCCAGAGCTGGCCTAGTGAGGTGTGTACACACAGGTTATAGCCTTGTCTACCAATACACCCATCCCAATACACCCATCCCAGTACTGGCCTAGTGAGGTGCGTGCACACAGGTTATAGCCTTGTCTACCAAGACACCCATCCCAGTACTGGCATAGTGAGGTGTGTGGCCTTGTCTACCAATACCCCCATCCCAGTACTGGCCTAGTGAGATGTGTACACACAGTTAATAGCCTTGTCTTAGTGAGGTGTGTACACACAGGTAATAGCTTTGTCTACCAATACCCCCATCCCAGCACTGGCCTAGTGAGGTGTGTGCACACAGGTAACAGCCTTGTCTACCAATACACCCATCCCAGAGCTGGCCTAGTGAGGTGTGTACACACAGGTTGTACACACAGGTAATAGCCTTGTCTACCAATCTAGTGAGGTGTGTACACACAGGTAATAGCTTTGTCTACCAATTCCCCCATCAAAGCACTGGCCCAGTGAGGTGTGTACACACAGGTTATAGCCTTCTTGTCTACCAATACACCCATCCGAGTACTGGCCTAGGGAGGTGTGTGTACACAGGTAATAGCCTTGTGTACCAATACACCCATCCCAGTACTGGCCTAGTGAGATGTGTACACACAGTTAATAGCCTTGTCTTAGTGAGGTGTGTACACACAGGTAATAGCATCGTCTACCAATACACCCATCCGAGTACTGGCCTAGTGAGGTGTGTACACACATGTAATATCCTTGTCTACCAATACACCCATCTCAGTACAGTCCTAGTGAGGTGTGTACACACAGGTAATAGCATCGTCTACCAATACACCCATCCGAGTACTGGCCTAGCCTTGTCTACCAATACACCCATCTCAGTACAGGCCGGGTGAGGTGTGTACACACAGGTAATAGCATCGTCTACCAATACACCCATCCGAGTACTGGCCTAGTGAGGTGTGTGTACACAGGGAATAGCCTTGTCTACCAATACACCCACCCCAGTACTGGCCTAGTGAGGTGTGTCCACACAGGTAATAGCCTTGTCTACCGATACACCCATCCCAGTACTGGCCTAGTGAGGTGGGTGCACACAGGCAATAGCCTTGTCTACCAATACACCCATCCCAGAGCTGGCCTAGTGCGGTGTGTACACACAGGTAATAGCCTTGTCTACCAATCTAGTGAGGTGTGTACACACAGGTAATAGCCTTTTCTACCAATACACCCATCCTAGTACTGGCCTAGTGAGGGGTGTACACACAGGTAATAGCTTTGTCTACCAATTCCCCCATCAAAGCACTGGCCCAGTGAGGTGTGTACACACAGGTTATAGCCTTGTCTACCAATACACCCATCCCAGTACTGGCATAGTGAGGTGTGTGGCCTTGTCTACCAATACACCCATCCCAGTTACTGGCCTAGTGAGGTGTGTACACACAGGTAATAGCCTTTTCTACCAATACACCCATCCTAGTACTGGCCTAGTGAGGTGTGTACACACAGGTAATAGCCTTGTCTACCAATACACCCATCCCAGCACTGGCCTAGTGAGGTGTGTGCACACAGGTAATATCCTTGTCTACCAATACACCCATCACGGTATGGGTGTGACAGACGAGGCTATAGTTCCTGTGGTGTACATGTTGTAACAGTTAAAATGAGGGGAAAACACTGCCTTACTCCAAGGATGCGGTACATGTATAACCTGCATGGGGACTTGCTCACTAGTTCAGGAAAAGCTGAGCATTGTCAGTATATGGGTGACACGTTACATTTGGTGGCAGTATAGCGACTCTGAAAGTGAGTGTTTGATCATGTAAAGTTTGTTTATGTTTAAGTCTATGGTTATTTAAGGACGTGCCAGGTTTTGGTGGAGGAGGAAAGCCGTAGTTCTCAGAGAAAAACCAGCAACCTAAGGCCAGTAACCTGGCGACTGCCACACGTAGGCCTCAAACCTGCGACCCTAATAAGTGGTGGAGGGCTAGTGGTAGCAGAAGGTCAGATGCCTTAACCATTTGGCCTGTGTAAGGCCAGTTCCCGGTGGTTAGGGAAGGTACATTGATAGGGAGGACATATGGGATTCCCCTGGCCAAGTCTCAGGACGAGACTTCTCAGAGAAAGAGGCGATGGGGGTAGTATAACAGCTAAGGAATATGAGGGGCAAGCTAGCTTTTCCAGCGTGGTCAGTAGTTGGATGGATGACCGCCCGCACGTTAAAGTGTATTGTTTTTTTTCTCGATTTGCCGACCTGTTAAAGAAGCTTATCTTAATCTGTTAATCTGAAACAGTAAATATCAGAGATTTACCTTTATCCACTTGAGCTCGTTTACAGCATCTTGGGGATTCTTAGTGAGGAAACCTGGTTTTCTGTCCATTCTAATAATCTGTAAAAATGTCACCGGATATTGAAGTTCTGATCCATATGCACTGAACAGGTGCGTGTGGTTTATGTGGACGTCGCCATCTTGTGGTTTCCTTCACGACGTAAACAATTTTGAATTGCATTGTGGGATGGGGATTCCCTTTAATTTACGTTTTTTTTTTCTTTCGTTTTCAATTTATTTCATACTTTTTTGTTTGAAACCGACATATATCCATTTAATCTTTGGCTGTTTGCTCGTTATCATAAACAAACAATTGGATATCAAATTTTATATTTATGTAAAAAAAAATCGACACGTTGATGTAGCTATTTTAAGAACAGACGTCACCAATACGGAATTCCCTACGCGCGCACATCAATAATAATAGCTTCCGATCGAGCGGAAAAGGTAAAAGAACAGGATTTATCGATATGGGACCAAAAATATAACAAAATGGCGAACATCGTGGTTGCATACATCTTATGGCTGACGGGAGGCTGGCTCGGCCTTCATCACTTTTATCTTGGTCGCGACAAGCATGCGTTCGTTTGGTGGGCAACATGGGGAGGCTGCTTGGGTCTTGGATGGTTTCGTGATTTATGGAGACTTCCTGAGTATGTATATGAAGCAAACAACGATAAAAGATATTTAAACGAGCTAAAACATCGCATGGAGGTGTTCCCCCGACCCCCGTTTAATGTTACCAGGTTTGGCGGCGAACTGGTGGTGGGATACCTGTTTGGGATCGTGCTAAGACTGGTTATACCAGAAGAATACACAGCTCATGGTATTGGCTGGTTACTGACCGTCGTTCTACCTCCTTATGGAGCTGCTTTTGGTGAGTAACCAACCTAGACTTGATAGTTATCCAGATGACCACCATATTGAGTAATTTAAGGATATAAAAATGTAGACATGTGTAACAAGAGAGGAAAAATGCACGGCCAAACCAGGGTTTGAACCACGGACCCTCATAACTTTAGATAGATGCTCTACTAATTAAGCTTTTAAGACTTAAAAAAAAGGAGGGAGGAATACAGCAGAACTGGACTCGGTCAATCGTCAGTGATCAAGTATATAGCTCAATTGGAAGAGCCCCGTCCAGTGTACATGTTCGGAGGGTCCCTGATTCGAACCCCTGTCTGATCTTGCCTTGCAATTTCCCCCTCCTGTTACATATGTATTGTTAGGAGGTTACAGGTTCTGTAAGAGCTAAGGAATATATAAGGGGGAGACACCAGCTGCTATACCTTCTACCTATATAGTGCTGCTTGCACGTTATATTTGGGAACCCTAGAAATTTCAATATCCAACTGTTTCGGTACCTACGAATTGGATAGTTTTGACACTTACTGTTTGCTGATGAGTCTTGAGTCTAAATCAGCAGCACACAGACCACAAAGGAAACAAATTATTGGGAACCTGGAGCATTGAGCAGGGTCAGACAGTGGTAAAGGTGTTAATTAGGTCATTTCACCCTATATCCTGGGAGCCAGCTGGGTCATTTCGCCCTATATCCTGGGAGCCTGGGTCGTTTCACCCTATATCCTGTGTGTGCCCTGGTAGAAATTCTTAGGGTGATTTTTTTTTCGTCCTGTTTAGTCGTATTTAGTCTTGTTTATTTCTTATAAGGTCTCATTTGAAATTTTCTACGGAAGGTCTCCTTTAGTCATTATTGTCATATTAATTAGGACTTGTTAGATTTGTACGTGGTCAACCAGATCCGCACATAAAATGTACGTAGCATACACCTGCACAAAATTATTCGGCCAACACGTACAATTATTCATAAAACAGGAAAACAGTAAGTGTTTTTAATCATTTAAGGAAGCTCCACCCTTTCACAATTAAGCAGCAGAATTCAATGAAAGTTTCACACAATGGTTGTGTCACTATGTAGGGATGATTTTATGAAAATCTAAGCAATCTGATAAACTTTTTGGTAAAAAATCCTGAAAATTTGTTTTTTGTCAAATTTAACACTTTCACATGTTTTGAGTGCATGGCATTGTTCAAAACTATTACAACAATAAAGTAATTAAAAGAAGCATTGCTAATCAACCCTACAAAGATTTTATTTATCATAAAATATCTGAAACACCTTACACAAAATGTTTTTTTATTGATATTGTATGGATGTAAGTTTTTATATATACAAGATAAAAGCAAAAAGGACACATAGTTTTATACAAAAAGAGTGAAATATTTAACCAAATATACACAAAGTCTTTATAATTCATTAATTTTGCATTTTACAATCATTTTGATCCTGATGGAGAGATCTAGAGTTGTCTTACTTGAAAAAAAAACGGAACATTTTGCACAGGGATAAAATTTATACAATGACAGTTATTTTCTTTACTATACCAAAAACGACAGAAATAAGTTAAATTATGATATCAAAATTGTCAAGTTGCTGTTCTTTAATGTATCCAACAAAATTACTCTCAATCATACACTTTGGCCATCATTCCATAGCCCACTTACGCATGATATCTTTACATGTCAGGTACATATCATATGTAACCATAAGCTATCGCATGGTATGCCGTTATTACGTGCACGCACATGCACTTGCATTTTATAGAGATCTTGACATTTTACAAAACTGCATTTGTGAAAAAATTGACAGAGTAACTTGCTCGACAACAAAAATCGTAGTGACCTGAGCTTGTAAACTAGTGTTAGCACGTGCTATGTACAGGTGAGGTTGTTAAACAAAATACATCTGTCTGCATTCCATGCGCCTCATTTACGACCTTCTTGAAGTCGTCTGATCTTATGTCAGTGTCTTCCCGTGTGTTAATTTATGTCTCAACAGTCAACTGTATAGCTTAAGCTAGGGAGAATGACCCTTTACCTCAACAGTCACCTTATAGCTTCAGCTAGAGAGAATGACCCTTTACCTCAACAGTCACCTTATAGCTTCAGCTAGAGAGAATGACCCTTTACCTCAACAGTCACCTTATAGCTTCAGCTAGAGAGAAAGACCCTTTACCTCAACAGTCACCTTATAGCTTCAGCTAGAGAGAAGGACCCTTTACCTCAACAGTCACCTTATAGCTTAAGCTAGAGAGAATGACCTTTTTTTTTATTTGCAGGAGTACACCTGGTTGCCAACATTGGACGACAAAAGTGTACAATGTCGGCACCTCTGATTGGTGCCTCCCTCGGGTTGCCATGGTCACTGTACATTTCGGAAAATATTATGCCAGGTGTACTGTTTGCTGCAATTCTTGTGAATAAATTTGGAATACAGTGGAAAGAAGATAGAAGAGACAGAGAAAACCTCTGTAAAAGGGCGCTTGTGTTGACGTTTTGTGGTATGATTTATCTGTCATTGTGGACCTCTGTGATTTATTTGAATTGTTCGGTCACTAACGAACACGGTGAAACCATACCTTTACGAGAGGCAATTCCAAATTTCTTTAAATCTCCTGCCTGGGAGAATATGAAAGGGACTATAAGTAAACTCTACGAGTATTACAAACTTTACGGCTGGAATAAACTTTGGCAGCAGATTGTGGAGGCTATGGACCCTACAGGAGAAGCTAATGCCTATAAGGTAGGTATTGGTTTGACCCTACAGGAGAGGTGAATGTCTATAAGGTAGGTATAGGTTCAACCCTACATGAGAAGCCAATACCTATAAGGTAGGTATAGGTTCGACCCTACAGGAGAAGCCAATGTCTATAAGGTAGGTATGGGTTTGACCCTACAGGAGAGGTTAATACCTATAAGGTAGGTATGGGATTGACCCTACAGGAGAAGGTTAGTGCCTATAAGGTAGGTATTGGTTTGACCCTACAGGAGAAGCTAATGCCTATAAGGTAGGTATGGGTTTGACCCTGCAGGAGAAGGTTAGTGCCTATAAGGTAGGTATTGGTTTTACCCTACAGGAGAAATAAATGCCTATAAGGTAGATAAAGTAGGTATGGGTTTGGCCCTACAGGAGAAGGTTAGTGCCTATAAGGTAGGTATGGGTTTTACCCTGCAGGAGAAATAAATGCCTATAAGGTAGATAAAGTAGGTATGGGTTTGGCCCTACAGGAGAAGGTTAGTGCCTATAAGGTAGGTATTGGTTTGACCCTACAGGAGAGGAGAATGTCTATAAGGTAGGTATGGGTTCGTCCCTAGCGGAGAAGCTAATGCATATAAGGTAGGTATGGGTTTGACCCTACACGAGAAGCTAATGCCTATAAGGTAGGTATGGGTTTGACCCTGCAGGAGAAGGTTAGTGCCTATAAGGTAGGTATGGGTTTTACCCTGCAGGAGAAATAAATGCCTATAAGGTAGATAAAGTAGGTATGGGTTTGGCCCTACAGGAGAAGCTAATGCCTATAAGGCAGGTATGGGTTTTACCCTACAGGAGAAATAAATGCCTATAAGGTAGATAAGGGAGGTATGGGTTTGACCCTACAGGAGAAGGTTAGTGCCTATAAGGTAGGTATTGGTTTGACCCTACAGGAGAGGTGAATGTCTATAAGGTAGGTATGGGTTCGTCCCTACAGGAGAAGCTAATGCCTATAAGGTAGGTATGGGTTTGACCCTACAGGAGAAGCTAATGCCTATAAGGTAGGTATAGGTTTGACCCTACAGGAGAGGTTAATGCCTATAAGGTAGATAAGGTAGATATGGGTTTGACCCTACAGGAGAAGCTAATGCCTATAAGGTAGGTATGGGTTTGACCCTACAGGAGAAGGTTAGTGCCTATAAGGTGGGTATGGGTTTTACCCTACAGGAGAGGTTAATGCCTATAAGGTAGGTATAGGTTTGAACCTACAGGAGAGGTTAATGCCTATAAGGTAGGTATAGGTTTGAACCTACAGGAGAGGTTAATGCCTATAAGGTAGATAAGGGATGTATTTGTTTGACCCTACAGGAGAAGGTTAGTGCCTATAAGGTAGGTATGGGTTTTACCCTACAGGGGAAATAAATGCCTATAAGGTAGATAAGGTAGGTATGGGTTTGACCCAACAGGAGAAGCTAATGCCTATAAGGTAGGTATGGGTTTGACCCTGCAGGAGAAGCTAATGCCTCTAAGGTAGGTATGGGTTTGACCCTACAGGAGAAGCTAATGCCTATAAGGTAGGTTATGGTTTGACCCTACAGGAGAGGTTAATACCTATAAGGTAGGTATGGGTTTTACCCTACAGGAGAGGTTAATGCCTATAAGGTAAGTATGGGTTTGACCCTTCAGGAGAAGCTAATACCTATAAAGTAGGTATGGGTTTTACCCTACAGGAGAGGTTAATGCCTATAAGGTAGGTATGGGTTTTACCCTACAGGAGAGGTTAATGCCTATAAGGTAGGTATTGGTTTGACCCTACAGGAGAAGCTAATGCCTATAAGATAGGTATAGGTTTGACCCTACAGGAGAGGTTAATGCCTATAAGGTAGATAAGGTAGGTATGAGTTTGACCCTACAGGAGAAGTTAATACCTATAAGGTAGGTATGGGTTTTACCCTACAGGAGAAGTAAATGCCTATAAGGTAGATAAGGTAGGTATGGGTTTGACCCTACAGGAGAAGCTAATGCCTATAAGGTAGGTATGGGTTTGACCCTACAGGAGAAGCTAATGGCTATAAGGTAGGTATAGGTTTGACCCTACAGGAGAGGCTAATGCCTATAAGGTAGGTATGGGTTCGACCCTACAGGAGAAGCTAATGCCTATAAGGTAGGTATGGGTTCGACCCTACAGGAGAAGTTAGTGCCTATAAGTTAGGTATGGGTTTTACCCTACAGGAGAAGTAAATGCCTATAAGGTAGATAAGGTAGGTATGGGTTTGACCCTACAGGAGAAGCTAATGCCGATAAGGTAGGTATGGGTTCGACCCTACAGGAGAAGCTAATGCCTATAAGGTAGGTATAGGTTTGACCCTATAGGAGAGGTTAATGCCTATAAGGTAGATAGGTAGATATGGGTTTGACCCTACAGGAGAACCTAATCCCTATAAGGTAGGTATGGGTTTGACCCTACAGGAGAAGCTAATGCCGATAAGGTAGGTATGGGTTCGACCCTACAGGAGAAGCTAATGCCTATAAGGTAGGTTATGGGTTTTACCCTACAGGAGAAGTAAATGCCTATAAGGTAGATAAGGTAGGTATGGGTTTGACCCTACAGGAGAACCTAATCCCTATAAGTTAGGTATGGGTTTGACCCTTCAGGAGAAGCTAATGCCTATAAGGTAGGTATGGGTTTGACCCTACAGGAGAAAGTTATTGCCTATAAGGTAGGTATAGGTTTGACCCTACAGGAGAAGCCAATGCCTATAAGGAAGTTATGGGTTCGACCCTACAGGAGAGGTTAGTTCCTATAAGGTAGGTATGGTTCGACCCTACAGGAGAAGCTAATGCCTATAAGGTAGGTATGGGTTTGATCCTACAGGAGAAGTTAATGCCTATAAGGTAGGTATGGGTCCAACCCTAGTATGGGTTATTTGAGAGCCACATGTCGGATAACCTTGATAGGAGTGTTAAAGGTTTGCAGAAGTTTTGAAATTTCACTCAGATCCAGGAAATGCCTGAAAAAATAGATTTTTTATTTTATTTTCTTTAAATGGAAGGGGTTTAGGCCAACCCAGTGTTTTTTTGTTTTTTTTTGCTCAATTTAACTGCCGAATACAGGCTGTTTCCCCTAGTTTAAAAGTGCCTTTTTTTCCCTAAATGAACAAAAGGAGGAATATATTCCCAATTTCAATAGAAATAATGCTATATTTTCCAACTTCATAAAGAAACAGGCTGTTGTAAAATTCAGGTAAATAAGACACTGCAAGTGATTTTATACCCATACTATTTCTTTTATCAAAGAAAAAGAGACAATTTTTTAAATATAGAGAAATAACTTTCTTTTCGTTTATCATTATTTTTATTCATCTCTGTGCTTTTGTCTTTGCTATTGTAACAGGGATTATTTTACTTGAACAGGTACTTGATCTGAATGAGACTGTCAGTCAAAAAGAAATCACAAGGCGATACAGAGATCTCGCGAAGGAGTGGCACCCAGACAAAGTCAAAGATCCGGCCAAAAAAATGGCTGCTCAGGAACGGTTCATAGAAATCCAAAAGGCATACGCAACATTATCTGAAATAAAAAGTCGGAGAACATCAAAGTCAATGGAATCGGATTTTCCAAAGAAAGCTAAGAAACAGACCCATACTGAGTTTTAATGACATTGTCGATCTGAAATATCGTTATGCTGCATGGATCTTTTTATAATTTTTAGCTTACCAATCTGAAATGAGCTTAAGCTAAGCCATGGTACAGTACCCTTGGTCAATGTTTTCTGAAAACAACTACTCCTCAAGTATGGTCAATCAGATCTCAACCAAACTATGCCTGAATTTTTTTTCTCCTATGGATTTCACTTGCTGTATTTTTTAGCCAAAACAAGTGTGGTTATGTTTGAGGTTGATGCCAGTTCCATGATTGCCAGCTCGAAGACAAACATTTGATGGAAACGTGGCTAAAATGAAACTGTTGATCTGCAAAAATTACACTGAATCTCTTCCTTTAAACCTGGTTCCTCCTCAAAAGACCACAGCTGTTCATAGGACGTAAAGCACACACAAACAAACAAACTCGACCTTTAAATCAGGTCTAAAATGTAAACATGATACATGTGTAAGTAACTCGGGCTGCAAATATTTACAGCCCACGAGCTGTGTGCCTATTGGCCTCTTGTTTCTTTCATTGTGGCTTATCGTTGGCGTCTGATTTTTTGTGATGACAAGATCGATGGATGTTGCTACAGATACATATCCAAAAAATAAATGTTTTGTTTTTTGATAATATTCAAATTAAATCATAAATATGTTGATAATCCATATTAACTTAAACAGCATGTAGACATATCAAATTGTAATTTTGGCTGAAGATAAAAGGTCAGCACACATGGAGGATATTTAATGGTGTCTTCAGGAATAACAAATATATTTCACTCGTGTGGCTAATGTTTTGATATTTTTCACTCGCGGCTAATATTTTGATATTTATCGAAATATTAGCCACAGTGAAATATATTTGTTATTACTGAAGACACCATTAAATTTTCCATTTATTACATTTTTAAAACATAAATCATGAAAAATGTAACGCATTAAAAAAGGGCGGGAATTAGAAGCGTAATAATTAGCGCCATATTCTAATGACGTCACGCTTGACAACAAGGCTCCGTGCCATTTTAAATCCCAGCATATTCTGCTATTTTCTGGTATGATTGCTTATAAAAGTGTTATTAATTGTATATTTATGTAAATACTGACGTGTGTACCTTTCCCTTTGTCCGTGCTTTGATCTGGTCATTTCTATGGAGTTATGTCCCTTTTTGCAAAAGTTTGCAGTTCAGAGCATGTCATCTAAACTATTTCACCAGTAGTAACCAGATTTGGTATACAATTAATTATATCATGGGATGGCGGATTGTCAAGTACACACAATAGGTCAGAAGGTTTGACCTTTGACCTAAACCTTCGAAATTTTTTCTTTGAAACATATATTCTATACTATTTCATCAGGAGTAACCAGATTTGTTGATGCAAGTACATCTTTGGATGGTGGAAATTGTCAAATGTCACTCTGACCTATGCTTTTGACCTTTGATCTTATCCTTTGAATGAAATTGTCTGGGGCATATCTTCTATACTATTGCACCTGAAGTCGATTCGGCATGTCTGTCTTTGGATGTCTACAAAATGTAGGCCGCTGTCAAAAGTTTTTACTTTTACATTTGACCTTATCCATTGAAAAAATTGTCTTTTCTATACTATTTCGGTATGCAAGTCCATATTGATATGACAAAATGTCAAGCACAAAAAGTGTTTAACCTTTGACCTCAACCTTTTGTCCTGGGTGTGTCGTCTATACTTTATCACCAAAGTAACTAAGTTTTGCATGAAAGTACATCTTAAGAAGGTGGAGTGTCAGGTTCAGAAAGTAGATCACTGTGACCTATCTTTTAACCTTTGACCTCAACCTTTTGTTCTGGGTGTATTGTCTTTACTATATCACCAGGAGTGACCAGATTTTGTTTTCAAGTACATCAAGGGATAGCGGAGTACAAGAAGTAGGTCACTGTGACCTATATATGTCTTAAACTTTGACCTCAACCTTTTGTCCTTTGCGTATTGTCTTTACTTTTTCACCTGGAGTGACCAGATTTTGTTTTCTAGTACATCATGGGATAGCGGAGTACAAGAAGTAGGTCACTTTGACCTAGGTTTTGGCCTTTGATCTCAATATTGTACAAAGTTTGTCTGGGCATATCTTCTATACTATTTCACCTGGAGTAACCAGATTTGGTATGCAAATATGTCTTTACTGGCAGAATGTGGAGTTCAAGAAGTAGGTCACTGTGATGTATATACTGTGATAGATGTACAGCTTATATAATTAATTGATAAATAAATAATCATTACTAGTATAGGGGACTTTATGGATTGCCTTGCAAAACTTTACTTTGTTCATTTTAAAATGTTCTCAAAAGAATTTTTCCTACAGTTCTTGTTACAGGCGGGAGGTATAAGTCTGCCAATCTGGCGACCATTCTAGTTGTTATTCGTTAAATGGTGAACAACTTGCAATAAAACATGAGTTTAAGAGGATTTCAAGTTAAATCACATGACAAAAAGCAGAACAAATCTTGTTTTATGATATTAACTGAATTTTGTGACAATTTAAAACAATGTTATGATACCATTAAAGGTCAAAAGGTCAGTATATCAGTTCAGTTCAAAGGATGTCTCACCGCTGAAACGTTTTGGCCACAATTTTTTAATTAATTCATATTTTTCATTCAAAATAATAATGTAATAGTATTAGTAGTGACAAAGAGCCTGTCTTGGTGTTTGGATGACGGACTGGCGAGGTAACCGCCCATCTATATCAACCTGGTAACAAGGATCGTTTTGTTGGTGGGACAAAGTAACAGTATGTGTTACTTTATGATATTCATTACCCATTCTTTGAGGCCTATACACACAGAGAGCTGCCAATCCATTACGGGGCATTACCGGTGCTCTACCGACATTTAAGAAGCCATACCAGAGTACTGTTGTTGTACTGCCGTTGTAGACCCGTTGCCTGCTTGGGCAGCGCAATGGCAGAAATGTTTTGAGTAAATTCAAAAATTTCTTTAATCGCCTGCTGTTGCTAAATTTATTGGCAATGTTCTGACAATGTCCTGACAATGTACTACCCTTCTTAGCAATGTGATACCATTGCGCTGCCATACTAGTACCGATCCCCTAAAATCTCTGAATTTGTGCTCCAGTAGAGCTCTGGAGACCCAAATCGGTTGGTGTGACATGTACAGGCCCTTTTCATTTTAAGTTCAAAAGATTTCATTTGAAGAACAAAACCGATATTTCAATGAAGGCCTAAGAGAAAAGTTCTAAACTTAACACTGCATTCTACAGGACTGGAACACATGTTTGAAACCAGTAAAGCATAATTCTAATTCATTTGAGATGTAACACAGCATTTGATTGGTTAATCATAATGATTTGCGACAGTATAACCACAATATACCAACCGCAAATTTCTCATATGAAACCCAGATGGGGGTTGTTAATGACACAAATGACCCCTACTAACTCTGTCACGTCATAAAATTGATTATTTACGATGTCATGAACAATAACATGACCCCAAAAGGTCAATGTAATCTCGCCTCAGTTTGAATATTCCTGAATATTCCTTATGTCACTAATCAACGGCAGAGCGACCCAGATTTGAAGAAAACATATCTTAAAATTACTGTTTCTTTTGGTGGTTTGGCTCATATGAATAAGAATGGATCCACATCACCAATAAAACTCCAGTTGCTACAGTATAAGCGCGGTATACTGCCGCAAATATTAAAATACAGAAGGGTTAACGTTATTCTCTAGTTATTCAGTCACCAGTGAGTAACACAGGTGACCTATTGTGATCACCTTTTGTCCGTTGGCCATGGGCATCATTTGTCATGCTTAAACAATCACATTTTCGACTTCTCCAAAACCATCAATCAGATTTTAATGAAACTATTGGTATGAAGCCCATATGAGGATCAGAATCTATAGTCAAGATGAAGCAAGGCCTTTAAAGGGGTTAAAGGTGCAAAACCTTCAAAAGACTTCTCCGACGAAACTTACTGCTGGATTTTCACTATAACTTTTCATAAAATAACGCTGCAATGATTAGGATCAGAAGATGTACACAAAAAGGGGCTGGGCCTTTAGGAATGCTAATATTGAGTCACAAAGAGCAAAACGTGATTAACAATGACACTTTGACTTCTTCACAGAAACTGCCAGATTTTGATGGTTTACATCAGAACCATAGCTCTAAACTCAATAACATTTTTAGGTCACTTGGCCCTTATTTTGTTGATTTTCACCAGAAAATAGTTCAAACTTAGTTGGAATTCTTAGGATTGTAGTTTAACTACTCCTCTTGGAGGTTAATATATTTCATTTCATATCCTTATATTTTCTCGCAATACTTTTATGTTGTTCTATCCCTAATATCATATTGTAACAGCTGATTCACCGTGGCATCCTTGGTCATGCATCACAATAACTGTATTTCAACACAGGTGACTGTTATTAGGCCAGTAGGCCTCTGGTATATTAGTGCTGATACATGATTGGAGTGTATGGTTAAACTAGCTGGTATTTATTGCTGAGTTTGAAGGTGTGATATCATTTGTGTATAGACTGTTTAGCAGGGGTGGGCCTATTACCGAGCATGGGCTTATTACCGGTTAAATACAGTAACTGGAAGTAATACTGCTGTATCAAATGATATAAGAATACAAGTACTTTTTTTTCCAAATATTTTCTTCGGGTTGGTAAGTATGGATTTTGAATTATGAAGAATGTCTGCTAATGATCTGGAAACATTGTAACCAATAGATCCAGTGTAGTCCACAGTAGGCCTCAGTGGGTTTCCCTGCTTGTGGATCTTGGGTGTACAGTACATTCTAGAAGTGTCGTTTGTCTGATGAAGGTGACAGAGTACATACAGTACCAGTCATTGACACGTCACATAGAAACACTTCTTGGTTGTGTAAACAGAAATTTTCATAATGAATACAGGTACTGTTGAGCTAACTTTGGTATTCAATGTAGACTGTTCTGACTAACAATATCTATGTTATCTATAATTTGTGAACTGCTCTGAGATGACCTACAAACTAGGTTGTGATTAAGCGGTATATAAGAACCTCATATCGATCATTAGTCCCCCACCGGGATCCCGGGGACTATAGTTTTGTGTAATGTCCGTCCGTCCTTCTGCTATCGTGTCCGGGCTCCATCTCCTACACTACTTGTCACTGGAACTTCATACTTAGGGTTTGGGTTCACCTTGGTGAGACGTTATGATCTGTATCAAAAGTGGGTTATTCTGACCTACATTGCGACCTTTGACCTACATCAAAGAAAAAGTGTGTCCAGGCTCTATCTCCTACATTTTTGGTCACTGGAACTTCATACTTGGTGTATGGGTTCACCTTGGTGAGGCGGTGTGTCATATATCAAAAGTAGGTCACTTTGACCTTCATTGCGACCTTTGACCTACATCAAAGAAAAAGTGTATCCAGGCTCTATCTCCTACATTTCTGGTCACTGGAACTTGGTGTATGGGTTCATCTTGGTGAGGCGGTGTGTCATGTATCAAAAGTAGGTCACTTTGACCTTCATTGCGACCCTTGACCTACATCAAAGAAAAAGTGAATCCAGGCTCTATCTCCTACATTTATGGTCACTGGAACTTGGTGTATGGGTTCATCTTGGGGAGGCAGTGTGTCATGTATCAAAAGAAGGTCACTTTGACCTTCATTGCGACCCTTGACCTACATCAAAGAAAAAGTGTATCCAGGCTCTATCTCCTACATTTCTGGTCACTGGAACTTCATACTTGGTGTATGGGTTCATCTTGGTGAGGTGGTGTGTCGTATATCAAAGTAGGTAACTCTGTTTTTGACCT